GATGGTGAGTTAGGATTCCACACTACAAAGGTCGGGCTCAAGTGTCAGCACGACCGCAGCAAGGGCTCCCACACGCCTGGCTCCCGGGATTCCCTTCCGCTGATTTACGTGACGGAGCAGCCAGTCGAAGGGGCGCAGCCAGTCGAAGGGGCCCAGCCAGAGCCTCCTTTACACACGATTTGGATGCTGGTCAACCGCACACCCATCACTGAAGGAAGGTGCCCTGGTGGACCGGGGGTGCAGAAGGAGGTGGAAAGCAGTGTTGCGGTGTGGTTCTGGCACTGCTTGGTCTTGGCAAGTCATTTTAACTTCCTATTCTTGTTTGTAAATGCAAAAGAAAAAAAAAGCCTGCTCCTTTCCTACCTCTTCACAGGCTTGTGGTCACTGACGTGGGGAGGTGGGGCTTTGGTTCCCAAGCAGGTCCCGGCTGTCAGTGTCCCGAGCTCAGCGCCACTTGGCGCACAACTGTTTGATTGACAGGTGCTTCAGTCGTGCAGATTATACATGACATCCAAGGCCACACAGCTGGTGCCCCAGTTTATTGTAAGAATTACTTTCCTACTAAATCTCTCAATGTTGCATCTGGAACTTTTTTTAAGTTTGAATGTCTAGACGCTTTTGAAACTCAATTTGCTTCCCTTACTCTAAAAGAGTCACCCCGCTTTACGCCTTCTGGGAGAAGCACGCAGTGTGAGATCCCAGTTTGCATGTGAAATGGCTGTTTCCACCCGATGCCACCGCGTCACTTGTGCAGAAGGCACGTGGGGACCAGCCCAGATGCCAGACCACCGCAGAGAAGGTGGGCCTCCTCCAGCCCCGGCCCCTGGGCCAGCAACGGCTGCATCTTCTCCTCTCATTCTTCTTAAATTATGTCCCAGATCTGTAGCTCGTGATGGTGACAAAGGATTTAGAAAGTCACCTTGCTGACTGCCTTATCTCTCACTCTCTGTTCAACATGGTGGTATGCTCCCCAAAGGGACTCCCCAAAGTGCTTAGACGAGGCTGAGGGTCTCCTTGTGAAACAGGGTCCCAGGCAGCCCACGCCAGGCGGTCTCACCTGGAGCCGCACCTGTCCTGCCCACAGAGAGAGCCCCCTGCTTTTCCCAGGGGGTGGTCCCGTGGTCTCTGCAATATTTAAGGTTAAAACTGGTGGCACTGGGTAACAGAAAATGGCAAAACTACGTCCCGTTCCCGGAGCTGTTTGTGTCCCAGGAAGGCTCCTAATCAGAGCCAGGCTTGAACCGCGGCCGTGGCCCTGCTGCTGCGCTTCTGAAGGACGTGGCACCTGCCTGACGCCGAGCAGCAACGGTGTAGCCCTGCAGCTGGCAAGCTGTGTTTATTGCTGGTTTACGTGTTAGTTTAATAGGATTTCCATTGCAAAAATATTGAACTGTGTATCTTTTCCTTAGATTTCACGCCTTTCACATATCCTTCAAAAGAAATAAATGAATTTTCTGGAACTCTGATGCTTGGGGGGAAAATGAAGGAAATGTGCCCAGATGACGATGTGGAACAGCTGAGTAAAAGCCTCCGGCGTGAGCCTCCTGCTCTGTGCCCGGGTTCTTCCCTTTCAGAGACCAGAAGTGTCGGGGGAGGCAGAGCGCAGGGGCACAGCGCATGCTCAGCATGTGTGAGGTCCTGGGTTCAAGCCCCAGCACCTCCATTTAAAAATAAATAAATTAAATAAATGACCAGACTTTTTTAAAAGTTTCCGTTTTTCCTCCTGCATCTTACCGCACATGCAATTTTAAATGCAATTTTAAAAATCTAATATGTTTAAGATAAACATTTTCCGTGTTATGATAAATTCACCGTCAAGCTGATTGATAACCCGATAATCGACCCAGAAGATGTTTCTTGGCCACTTTCCTGCTGTGGGACGTTTAAGTCCCTTACTCTCTACCCAGGGGAGTCCACACGTGAAAGCACGTCGCAGTGTGACAGCCATTAGGTGCCCAGGGTGGGGTAAAGCCAGCCTGTGCCGATACCTGGAAAGGCGTGCTGGCAAGCACTGTGCATAACCGCTCCCCAACATGGTTCCGTCCCGCTGTCGCCGCAGCCCTGCACACCTCCCTGCCCACACTCAGTGTGAGGGAATGGGGAGGTCTCACCGCAGCGCTGACGGTCTCCTGGGCTCAGCTGTGGGATCCGGGAGGCTTTAGAAGCCCTGATGCCTCTTCCAACCCCAGGTGTTCTGGCTCGGTGGGTCTGGGGGCACATGTCGCTTTGAAGTCCCCTTCATTCGTTCCGTTACTGTGCAGCCAGGGCTGAGAGACACTGGGTGAGTGACCATGGTCAGGGCCTTTGTGTCAGCACCCTGCTCCATCCCTTCCCGGCTTGTGGCCGCCCCGCTCTGAACTATCCCCTTCTGCGGGAGGATAATAACATGAGAGCACACGGGATTGTTGTCCATGAAACTCCGCTGAGCACGGAGCCTGCACATGACAGCATCCAGTGCACGTCCCTCGTCTATTGCCAAGGGGCCAGCTCCCTCTGTTACCTTTGCTTACGTCCCCAAGACGAGGGCCCTTTGTGGACAAAGCTTTTCACCTATACACCCTCAACACAGAGCCTCGTGAACGAGACGCCCAACAACTCTGCTAAATCAAGGCTTGGCTGCGATTCATTCTGTCTAGTAAATCCTTTCTGGGTATTTTCTGAGGACCCTGTGGCGGGGGCATTTTTTTGTATGTGGGCATCTCAGGGTCCTCGGAACAACATCTCTGAGGATGTTTCCGGGGTCCTGTCTCTCATGCCAAAGACCCTGCTTGGCGCTCAGATGGCTTTCCTCTTTACAGACGTGGAATAACACGGTTCTTCTCCAAATTACTTTTTTGAGTGAGGAAATGACTCAAAAGGAAAGTGTGAGCAGACCGTGTACACAGCGGGCCTCAGGACCACAACTATTTCACTGCCAGTGGCAGGTTTCGGTTTCTTTTCTCCTGTGACTCACTTCTTAGAATACAACAGGTGCGTGGTCCTGACCGTGAGCCTTAGAAATCTCAGCTCCATCTGAGCTCCGGGGTGGCAGCGGCCCAGGTTTCCACCTGAATGATGAATTTCCTTCCCCATGCAGATAAGGTTATCACCGTTTCAAAACCCTGGTCAGTTTCTTGTTTCTCTTTCCAAAATCCAGGCCACTGAACCCTCCCTGGAGCACACACGTCCTGCAGGTGGACCTGGCCAGGACACGGCGCACCGTTTCACATTCCCACCAGCTGTGCACAAGGGTCCCGATTTCTCCACCTCCTCGCCAACACTTATGGCATCCTGGTTTTGTTTTTGTTTGTTTGTTTTTCTGTTTTCAGGGTTTATTTTTAAGTAGCCAAAACCAATGGGGTTTTTTGGATAGCAGCACATCCTACTAGTGAGCTGGACAAAGGCCTCTTTGAAGATCAGAAAATGCTTAATAACTTCAGAGACTCGGAAGACAACATCCCTGTGCCTGGATGCGAAAATGCGACCCAGGCCCGAGGTGAATTCGTTATGCGGCCACGGTGATCTCAAGTCCACTGAGACCTCACACAATTTCCATCTTGAGGCTCTTTTTCCCTGAAACCACAGGCCCGAGGACAAGTGTCCTGGGGAATTCTGTCAGAGAAGCTCTCACCTGGATGGCTCAGCTGGAGATGATGGAGCTGCTGCTCTGCAGTCAGGATGGGATGGGCTTCCACTGGGCAGGATGGGCTAAGGCTTCAGCTGGAGTTTTAGCTTAAGGACCTCAGGTACATCACCTTACGGAGCCTCCATCTTCATCTGAAAAGTGAGGGTGATGACACTTTCCTGGAAGGATGGCAGCGAGGATGGACCAGCACGCAAAGCTGGAAGGAGGCAGCTGCTCTGCCGGCCAGACAGCCCCCCGCCCAGGCCACGTCCTGACCCATCCACCCTCAGTGCCCAGGGTCTTCAGTGGAAGGGAACATACCCTGCAGATAACAGTCTGGGGGCGGGGATCAGAAAACAGGAGAACCGTGACTGTGAGGCACCATGCTTCCTCCTCCCTCCGCTCGCCCCCTCCCTGGGCCTGCGCACCCAGACCCGGCTCTGTCCCCCATCCACCCCCCGCCACCGCCGCTGGACAGGCCAGCCCCATCTCATGGCCGTCTCCTCCCCGGGGGGTGAGAGCACTTTCCCAGGTCCCGGGCTGTTTTCTCGTCCTCTGTAACCTGACAGGCCTGCTTCTAATCAGACAGGCTGTCCGAGGGTGTAGACGGTCTACACTCACACACCCAGGGCGTGCTGAGCTGCTATGAGCAGCTCAAAACAGTGAACAGACAGATCTTGCCTTTCTTTGCGCCGCGGGCTCTTGTCTCTCGTCTCTGGTCTGTGACATCTCGCTTCATATCCTCGGCGGTTTCTTGCATGAGGGAAGGGAGGTCACGGGTGGAGAGCCTGCCCGGAGGAGTCTCCGTCACTCCCAAGTGCCCAGGCAGCCTCGCAGACAGAGGTTCAGAGGGGAGGTCGCAGAGGTGTGCGTTGTGGACGCGGCGTGTGAGACAGAGAGGAGGCATCAGATCCAGACCCTGGCTGTGCGCCTGCTCACCTGGCTCTCCACGGCGCCGTCACTGCCCCAGGCCTGCCAGCTGGGAGGAGCGGGAGGGGACTCGCCTGTGTGCTGCGTGGAGACGGTTAAATTATTGTCCATCTCGGAACTCTGTAACTGGCTGTCCGAAGGCTGCGTTCAGCCAACAGACAGCTTTTGATTGGCTCACAAGTTATTTTTAATTTTTTGTATTATATGTAGTTAAGAAAACCCACCAAGACTCTACATTTTAAAAGTATAGATTTGTATCTCTTCTTGAAACTGGACGCTCTCCAGCCCTGGGTGAAGACTCCCCTGAGCCTTGGTGGGGGTGGCGCCACGCCGCTGAGGTGGATTTCATGGCCAGCCCTGTCTGGGCTGGTGTGCGTCCATTCTGGTCCCTGAGAGAGTTTACACCATCGTGGACCCTGATCTACACCTCCTTGTGTTTCAAATAGGTTTTTCGTCTTCCCTTCCTCGGTAAGTGTGATGGTTAATTGTGTGTCCACTTGGCTAGACAGGTGTCCAGTGATTCATCAGACACTAATCCAGGTGTCGCATGAAGGTGTTTGTGGATGAGTCAACATCTGCATCCACTGAGCAGAGGAGAGTACCCTTGCTAATGTGGTGGGCCTTGTCCAATCAGGTGAAGGCCCTAGAGCCGAAAACCAGAAGTTTCCCAGAGAAGAAGGAGTTCTGCCTCCAGACCCGAACACAGAAACCCTGCCTGAGCTTCCGGCCCTGCAAGTTTCAGGCCTGCCAGCCCCACAGGCGCGCGAGCCAGTTCCCTTAAACAAACCCCTGTACCTGCGTGTGCGTGTGTGTGAGACCTGCCTGTTCTGGTCTGCCGGGAGCCCTGGCGGGCACGCGGGAAGGAGCACTCTCCTCCACCCTTGCTGTCCTGCCTTCCCTTCTGTCAGGGGCAGCGGTTTCCACGATGCCTGTCAGTGCCAATCTTCAAAAGATTGGTTTTTATCACTTTATGTCTGTTACCATCCCCCCCAGAGTCTCTTGTTCACATCTCCTTCATAATCTTCGTTTCAGGCTTTGCCCGGGCCCTTACCCTTCCATCCAGGGTGCCCTCCTGTCCTGGCTTCCCCCGCGACACGTGTCAGCCCCCTGCCACCGGTTTTGCTCTTCAGTCTTCTTGCACTGGCCCTGGGACCGTCCAAAGTCCCCAAGGCTCATGCATTGCGTTTCTGCTCCACATCAAGCCGAACGGCTCTCGGGTTAGGCTCCGCCCAGGGGGACCAGGCTCTGTGTTTGCACAGCACTGCTGGACTTAGAGTTCAGCACAGCAGGCAGGCCTGTCCCCACTCTCGGCACAAAAGCCACAACTGCTCTATTATCTACATGTTCTTAGGACCCTGTTTTCCATTTAGCACGAAGCAACCAGGTGTCCCCACAGTCCTCCCCCGTTTAATCCCTGCCTGACACTGGACGGCCAACTCTGATACGCTTCCGTCAGCTGCAACACAACGGAGCTGCCGTTAACAAGACTGATTAGCTCCAGATTTAAAAATACAGGAAAGGGAGCTCTCTTTAAGCCTGAACAGGAACTTGGGGTGTAAACACCCTGGACTATCTTCTAGAGAAAATCAACACGTTTCAGGGAAGTGACTCCTCCGAGTGGCCCCGAGCGTGGCTCAGTGGGAAACTCAGAGACACTGCCTTGGTTTCTAATGTGCACAGCGGTGCCGGGTGGGGGGCAGTCTCAAATTCCTTAATGACTCATTTTTCTCATTTTTACTAGAACTCTGAAGCAATCATATTTGTTTTTGAGACTCTAATCCAACTGCATGATAACAGGCCTGTTATTGTTACTAACAAGCCTGGGACTCTATGTTATTTTACTTACAACACATTGAAAGCAACGAGCACTTTGGGGGCGGGTGTAGCTCAGTGGCAGAGAACGTGCACAGCGCACCCAGGGCCCTGATTCAAATCCCAAAACCTCCACCACCGACAACAACAAAAGGTAAAAATACATAAAAATGAAAATAAGTAAAAGCAATTAGAGCTTTAATTTCCTCTAATATATTACGTTCGATTCCAAACACCAGCATCCTAAAATTTTAAGAGCTGCTTGCCTGGAAAAATGCATTGGCTATTATTTTTACCAAGACAGAGGTAAATGCTGTGAAAATAAAGGGGGAAAATTGAGGGAGCAAAATTCCCTGGGAACCCTGGGGGCGCAGCAACCTCGAGGCCGGGGCGGTGAACTCCCACCTTGACGTGGGAGGGGTGGAAGGGGCTGACGATGGGGGCGGGGGGGCAGGCTCATCACAGAGAGGCAGACAGAGGGACTCTTCCAACCTCAGCGGGCAAGACACGCGGGGTGGGGGTGTCCTGCAGACGCTGGCGGGGGTCTCCCCGCTCTCCAGCCACTCACACGGGACTGCAGCTTGAGTGTCTCCAGGTGCGAAGGGCTTGCGGGCACTGTGGACCAGTGGACGCTGCCCTGCCGGCCCTGCCCAGCTGCCTGGAAACCATGGTAACCACCACCTGGAGAGGCCTCGGTGCTTAGGCTCCGGACAAGCGTCAGCCGGCGTCTCCTCTTCAGCTATGAAGCAGCGCCGGGGTGGGTGTGTGGGGTAGGAAAGCCCCTGGGTGAGGGTGTGGGAAGCCTGACCTCGACTTAAGAGCAGGGTCTTTGTCATTCCTACCAAGAGGGCCCTGAGTCCGCGCCTCTGTGTCCCTTTGTCACCCCCACACTCCGCTTGGATATCACAGTGCCTGAGACGCACACTCTTCTTACCAAGACAAACGGGAGAAGTGATGCTGGCATTTCAGGTAGGACCAAAGTGTTTATGGGGAGGAAACAGAGGAACCCAATGCCAGGCATGTCCAGGCACAGGGCACAGAATTGAAAAGAAGGGCCTTGACCACAGGACCCCCGATTCCCACCCCTGCCCCGGGGACCTTCTGCCAGTGGAACAAAAGAATGTGTGCTTTTTACACAGCTCAGTGGAATCAGGGCCACAGCCCAGCCCCCGAGGTCAGGGGCAGTCGGACAGAAAAGGCACCTGAGCATCCATGTGTTAAGAGTCACATCTTCACCTGTGGGTTAATTAGACACATGCCCACTAGGTGTGGAACCACGTGCTGGGCCCCGGGCGTCACTGATGGGACAGACACCAGTGCCCTAACGATGGCACATCTCGAGCTGGACACAGACTCTGAATAGTGAGACACACAAAACCAACGGGGGAAGGCATGTGTGAGATCCTGGGAGGCCACCAGAGGGTGCAGTGACAATGTGGGGGCCCCCCCGGGTAGACAGGTCAGGGAGCCCCACCTGGAAGGTCCCCTTCCAATGAATCCTGGGAAGATGAGCGCCCAGGATCCGTGGCGAGAGAAGAGCATCTGGACAGAAAGGACAGGGCCACCCAGGGAGATGCAGCCTCAGGAGGAGGGGCCGCTGTGCCTGGAGTGACAGGCGTGAGGTGGGCAGCGGGCAGGGGGCCAGGGTGTTGGGCCTCGTGGGGCACCATCAGGGCTGTCTTCCAAGTGCAAAGCCAGGGACTGAAAGGGGTCGAGCAGGAGCGAGGAGAGGGAGGGGCTGCTCTTCAGGTTCAAAAACCCGCTCCAGCTGCAGTGCAAGGACAGGAGGGAGCCTGGGGTGAGAAGACAGGCCGAGGTGCTACTGCAACTGTCCGTGTGAAGAGAGGTGCAGGCGGGCTGAGGGGCATGGGCCCACACACACGTGGAGACAGAGCCTACGACCCAGGGGACAGCTAGGAAGTGGGGGCCCTCCAGGGAGTGGGCTCGGCAAACACGAAGGCAGAGGCAACATTTACCAAATAGAGGACAACTGGGCCAAACGCAGCTTTCTGGGGCGGGGGGAGGGCTCATCAAGTCAGGGCGGAGTCTGAGATCCCTTGGAGATTCTGGTGGGCGTATCCAAGGGGCAGGTCTGTTTGCGAGCTCAGAGTGTTGGGGAAAGTTCCAGACTTGTCATCAGTGTGTAGGGGGTCCTGAAATCCAGGGACGGGAGATGGCCTGGGTCAGTGGAGGGGTGGGACATGGGAAGAAGAGACAGTCCAGTCAGAGCAGCTGTGCATCGAGGGTCAGGGGGAGCAGGAAGGGACAGTGCGACACAGGGGAGGAGCCATGGCTGAGAGGGTGGTCTCGGGAGGCACACGGCCCGCGTTTACAGACGCTGCTAAGAGGCCAGTGTCCTCTGCGTCTCATGAGACGGCCCACGAGGTCGTGAAGTCTCCAGAACAGCGGCCCGCAGCTCCAGCTCCTCAAACCCGGCCGATCGCATGACCGCTGCGGGGGGCCCTCCAGCTGCACCTCTGGCTGTTGGACGGGAGTCCTTGGACGTCAGATCTGTGGCTGATCACGGACAGCTCCCTGGGAAGGCTTTTCCCAAAGGCAGGGCTGTCGGCAGCCTCTGGCAGGCGTCTCCAGTGCGGCCAGCCCTCCCATCACGCCTGCCGACCAGACAGAAGCTGGAAGGACACGCTGAGACACACATGCCCTTCGCCACCTGAAATCCTGGGGAAGTTCTCACCGGGAGAGCGGAGGCGCCGGGCTCTTGAGTGCAGCCTGTGTCCAGCAGGTGGCAGCAGCGCCCCGCCAGGGGCGAGTGGGCTCCCCCACCCCACCCCACCCCACCCCCGCCCTCCGTAAAGGAACTCCTGAATGCCTGGCGGCATCTCATAAACGCATTTGTTTACCACTCGCGCGAGCGGATGTGCTAGTCTATCACCCAAGGGGCAGGTCAGAAGAGGGACTCCTCCAATGTCCTTTTTAAATGCAAATTTTTATTTAAAGAATCCAGCTAATCTTTCTAAGTGAGGCAAAGAAAGGAAATTTTCTCATTAAAATATTAACCCTAATTCCAATTACAGTGCTTGGAAAATTTAGACTGACCAGTTCCAGATGCCCCGGTGGTGGTGGGTGAAGTGGGCGGGGGGCCTCTCGCAGGCAGAGAGAGGCTGGGCTGTCCCTTTTCTCAGAGGCTTTAGCCAAATCCGTCCCCACTTGTGCTCTTGTTCTTTTACTGCAGTTTGAATTATTTCTTTAAAATTCACAACTGTGTTCTTTTTTTGAAGTGAGGTGTACAGCTGCCCTGCCTTCCACTGAAGTTCATTTCTCCAACGTCTCTCCTGTCCCACAGGATAACAGTTCACAGTGACAAATTACAGTGTGCTCACTGTTATTGCATGTGTGCAGATACATGGTTGCCCAGCAGAAGGCGTCTCCCTGGCTTTCTCTCATCTGGTTGTTACCACTTGACCAAGTTAAGTCCAGTAGGCTGGGAGAAGTGATCCCCACAACTTCCAGGTTACACCCTTAAAGAAAAGGCCACTGCCTCCCCCTTTTCCTCCTTCTGTTGGCTGGGATGAAAGTGTGATGGAGGGAGCTAGAGCAGCCCCTTTACACCAGGAGGACCGCCTGGGGTTGAGGACAGTGGCCTCTGGTGGCCAGGCTGCAGTGTCTATCTGGACTCTAATATAAGAGATAAATAAATCAAGGGGTTAGAAAAGATGCAGCTGTGACCTCTAGCTCTGTTATAGATCCACCTCAGCAAAACATCAGGGAAATATTGTATTAGCAAATGCATGTCAAGGAAGAACGTGAGAATGCAGTCCGGCAGTTTGCAGTGTTACAGGTGTATGTACTGAATCATAAGATGGGAAAATAAGTCACAGCTGGTCATTCTGAGCCCTGGGTTCTAGAGCCTTCCCTCATGTGAATCCCTGAGCACAAAGACAGTGGGGACCTCTGATTCCCACAGGGCAGCGAGCAGAGTGCAGGCTGCATTGGGGGAGTCAGACTTTGTGGGGGCTACAGTGATTCAGGGAGATCCACGGTGACGGTGAACCAGCACCTCGCTCCCCAGCGCTGTGAGGGACAGAACGGGATGCTCTGGGGGTCGGATTAGATAACAGAGACAAAGTCTCAAGCCAGGAAGGCCCTGTTTATACAAGGGGGTGGGCAGAGCGGGGTCCCGGCCTCCACCAGCACCGTCATGACTGCCTTCTGCAGCCACAGCTGCTGCCAACCCCCTGAGGTCCCAGAGAAAAGAGCCCAGAAGTGGCCCTGGTTTGGGGAAATTCCCACTGCCCGGCAGAGCTGGACCAGGCTGGGGTGGGGAGCGGGGAGCCGCCCGTCCCCCAGGCGGGATGGAGGGCGGCGACCGGCACTGGAATGTGGCACCGAAGACCCTCAGAGCCGGCGTGGGAGGCGCTGGAGTGCCGCTGCCGTGCGGGTTGACGGGCAGGTGAGGTTGCCCAGGACACTGCCGCCTGCTGTCTTCACGCCCACCTGAAATCCACCTGAAAACTGAGACCCGGGTGGGACCGACCGCCTGGAACTCAGCTTATTACAAAGGAGGACGCTCCCTGGGAGTGAAGTCGCACGCATTTGAAACTAATGAGAACATGAAAGCTTCTCTGCCTTCAGAAAACTGGCTGTTCTGGGCGAGGGGGACTTGGGCCCCCAAATTCACATGTGGGAGCTCTGGCCCCTCTTCTTAGAAGGTGACTGTATTTGGAGGGAGGGCCCTAGAGAGGTGACCAGGGTAAAATGACAGCGTTAGGGGCAACCCTAATCCCACAGGACTGGTGTCCCTGCAAGAAGGGCGATCAGGACACAGACACACACGGGGGACGGCCGTGTGGGGACACAGGGAGAAGACGGCCAAGTGCAGGCCAAGGAGACAGACCTCGGGAGCAGCCAGCACTGCCCCCGCCTGGGTCGCAGACTGTGAGAAACCAGTTTGTGCCGCTTGAGCAGCCGGGTCTGCCAGGTTGTCACTGGGGTGCTCCCAAGCCACTACGCCGGTACACGGTAGGCGTGCACGCTGAATTCACTCAGGCCAGACTCTCTGTCCTGCTGCGTCCAGATGCCTGGAATTTGCACGCACTGTTGAAAATCTTAAAAGGATCTTGAAACATTGTACTTTCCTGGCCTCACTCAAAAGTTGGCCTGTCTGTCCTCAGAAGCAAATCAGCCTGCAACTTGCAACATAATAGTTCAGTGCCTGAATTTTCACCTTTGTTGAGATTTACGTAAGTAAAACCTCAGTTACCCAGAAATAGCTGATGGGGACCATCCCAACTACTTTGTAACAGGAACCAAGAAAAACCGTCTTCTGGTCAGTGCGCAGATGCGATTATACATAAACACACATGCGCGAGCAGATGCAATGAATTTATGCATGTGGATATGGCCGATTTATTCATAACAGACTGGCAGGCACTCGCTCACTGTCCCTATGAACACACAGTTCTGACACGTGCAGACAGCTGGTTCTCTAAATGCAGCAGAACAATGTTCGCAGAGTTAGAGGAAAGACCGAAGGCACACGCTGAGGGTCCAGCCAGAGCCCGACAGTGAGAGAAAATCCGGAAAATTGGTGAGGAGAAGGGCAATCTGGAGTTGCTGAACACAGGAGCAGAGGCCCCAGCAGCGCTGGTCCCTGGGGTGCCAGCCACTGCAGCAGCAAGCAGTGCCCACGCCCCTGATCTGACACCCAAGGCAGCGAGGGAGAATGATATCATTTAATGAAATAAAGCACACACTCCATTTTAGGAACATCTTTATTCCTTATGGCTGAAATTTTAAAGGGGTTTTTGCATAAAGAAGCAAGCTGCACTCATCTGGAGATTTAGATACAGAAGAGCTGGTTTCCAGCTGCGCCAGATCAGTGAGATGTGTCCGTGCTGGTGGAGAAACACTTCCGTAGGTGGTGTCAGTGCGCTGGTCACACCGAAAGAAGCGTCTGAGCGCCGCCGCCTTGGACTTCTGGAGTCAAACACTAACAGATTTGAAGGGCGTGGGGCCCCTTGAAAACCACGGTCTCCCGTTCGGAACACTGAGCCTGGACGACGATTCCTCCTCCGCGCATGGAACAGTTTTGTTTCACAAAAGCCAAAACGTGTTTTAAAAAATACAGACTTTGAATCTTAAGAGATCATGTTGAATTTCGTACAGAGACGGAGTTGACGCTCACAAGGACAGGAGGAAGCGTCAAGTAACACGTCTGTCAGGATTAAACACGGCAGCGTCTGTCTAATTTGCGTTTTTGTAGTATGTGCCGATACTTTTCCACTTAGGTTCGTATGTTTACAAAGCACTTTCAAAACTTGAGTTTTATGAACTTTCAACGAAGTGGAAGAACTGTTGACATCTGCTTCCATAGTTAGCCCCAGGCGTTAGGCAAAAACCGCTTTACTGCAGAAGCCGAGGTGATGCGAGCCCCGCCCACTGACCTGAGGCTCACCGCGGCCAAACACCGCCCAGCCCAGCAACGTGTCCTTCCTCAACTCCAGGGTGGAAGCGAACAAAAGGGTTCTCATCATCGTCTCAGTAAATTTCTTTGCCCTTTTTTTTTTAAGTATTCTATTTTTTTAAGTTTTAAATGCCTAACATTTTAAGCTGCACTATAAACTCCAATTTCATTATGTTTTGTTGAACAAATGCTGTTTTTATTAAGCCCCTCCTGTATGCTGTATGCGTCCGTCTTCACGGGATTTTTAGAGGAAAATGACCGATTACAGAAAACTTTCTCAGGGAAAGTTTCTCAGCTGCCCTGTCCACCGTGACAGCCGCCACTCGCCCTCACACAGTCACCTCTTCTGTCATCAGGCTTGTTCCTCTCTGCTTTCTGCCGTCGCCCGCCGGTCGAGTGCGCCACAAGGCAGCGAGGTAAAACTCAAGCCGGCCCGCTTTGCCGCTCCCACTGACCGGCAGGAACTGTTGCGATGGGAAGCATGTGTAACATTTTGACTCAGATGAGTCATGTGAGGGCTTTTATCTGGTTTTGGGTTTTTTTCCTAGTTTTTTTTAAGCCATGTGATTTTTGGCAATGACCAGAAGACCTTGTGGTCTGGGACTGCTGCATGCGTACTTTTGAAAGGTTTCACACTTGTAAGCAATTCATTTTAACCCAGCATTTCCCAAATCCTGCTTTGTGGAACACCAGCT